CTCGGCTCACCGCAACCTCCGCCTCCTGGGTTCAGGCAATTCTCCTGCCTCAGCCTCCTGAGTAGCTGGGATTACAGGCACGCGCCACCATGCCCAGCTAATTTTTTGTATTTTTAGTTAGAGACGGGGTTTCACCATGTTGACTAGGATGGTCTTGATTTCTTGACCTTTTGATCTATCTGCCTCAGCCTCCCAAAGTGCTGGGATTACAGGCGTGAGCCACTGATTAATTTTTTGTAGTTTAGTAGAGACAGGGTTTCACTGTGTTGCCCAGACTGGTCTCAAACTCCTGAGCTCAGGCAATCTGCCCACCTCAGCCTCCCAAAATGCTGGGATTACAGGCATAAGTCACCATGCCCAGACTCTTTTATTAATAAGTAATAATCCAGGAGGGCTCACATCTGTCTACCCTTTTCATGACAAGGGGTAGTACGTTTTTACTTCTTCAGAACTAAGCCTGAAAACAAATTGATTCTAAAGGAGGGTATTGCCCCTCCTTTAAATCTTGTGGCAATCATAAGATCGTTCTAGTTTATTTAAAAAAAAAAAAAAAGCAAACCGGTAATAGTAGTTGTATGTTCCATGTGGTAGTAAAATTGTCACCATAAGCTTCCTGTTAAAACACAAAGAGTTTTTACATTTTTCATTTGTTGTTTCTTCTTGTACGGGTCTTCTGTTACTAATGTCCAGCACTCCTTGTTAAGATTATAGTATGAGATTATGTAGTAGGCTATATCCTGGCTAAATGTTTAAAATTATTTTTTATTTATTTACTGTTGTTGGAGACAGTCTTACTCTCTCTCACTCAGGCTAGGGTGTAGTGGTGTGATCTCAGCTCACTTCAGCCTCCACCTCCCAGATTCAAGAATTTCTCCTGTCTCAGCCTCCCAAGTAGCTGGGATTACAGGTGCATGCTACCACACTCAGCTAGTTTTTGTTTTTTTATTTATTTAGAGGAGTCATCTTGCTCTATTGCCCAAGCCGGAGTGCAGTGGCACCATCTTGGCTCACTGCAACCTCTACCTTCCAGGTTCAAGCGATTCTCTAGCCTCAGCCTCCCAGGTAGCTGGAATTACAGGCACCCACCACCATACCAGCTAATTTTTGTTTTTTTAGTAGATACGGGGTTTCACCATGTTCGTCAGGCTGGTCTCGAACTCCTGACCTCAAGGGATCCGCCCACCTCTGCCTCTCAAACTGTTGCTGGGATTAAACATGAGCCACCATGCCCAGCCAAGAATTTTTTAAAAAATAAAACCATTATTGATATATAATTATATACCATAAAATTCATCTTTTTAAAGTTTGTAGTTCAGTGGGTGTTAATATATTCAGAAGGTTGTACACTAGTCATCACTATCTGGTTTCAAGACAATTTCATTTTTCCCCCAAAAAACTCCATCTCCATTAGCAGAGACTCCCTATTTCTCCCTGTCCCCAGCCCCTGGCAACCACCAATCTCATTTCTGCCTCAGTGGATTTGCTTATTCTGAGCATTTCATATAAATGAAATCCCACAACATATGAGTTTTTGCAACTGGTTTCCTTCACTTAAGAATCTTTTCAAGAATCATCTATATTGTAGCATGTATTAGTGTGCTTCATTCTCTTTTTAACTGCCAAATCATATAACACTATGTAGTTATATCACCTTTTATTTACCCATTCATTAGTTGATGAGCATTTGGATTCTTTCCACTCACTGGCTATTATAAATAGTGTTGCCATGAACATTTATGTACAAATTTTTGTGTGGATGCGTGTTGTTATTTCTCATGGGCGTGTACTTAGGAGTAGAATTGCTTGGCCATATGGTAGGTATGTGTTTAATATTTTGAGGAACTGTCAAACCGTTTTTCACAGTAGCTGCATCGTGATACACAATCCCATTAATAATGTGTGAGAGTTCTAATTTCTTCACATCACCAAAATTTGTTATAGTCTGTCTGTATTTTAGCCATCCTGGTGGTTGTAAAGTGTAATTAATTGTGGTTTTGCTTTGTATTTCTAATGACTAGTAGATGTTGACCATTTTTTTCATGTGCTTATTGGCCATTTATCAAATGTATATTCAAATTCCATGTCCACTTTTATTTATTTAATTTTTTTTTTTGCTCTGTTTCCCAGGCTGGAGTGCAGTGGCGCTGTCTCAGCTCATTGCAGCCTCCGTCTCCTGGGTTCAAGCAATTCTGCCTCAGCCTCCCAAGTAGTTAGGACTATAGGCTTGCCCCACTACACCTGGCCAATTTTTGTACTTTTAGTAGAGAAGGGGTTTTGTCATGTTGCCCAGGCTGGTCTTGAACTCCTGGTGTCGGTGATCCACCCGCCTTGGTCTCCCAAAGTGTTCGGATTACAGGCATGAGCCACTGCACCTGGCCAATTTTTCTGGGGTTTTTTTGTCTGTTTTGTAAAGATGGGGTTTTGCCATGTTCCCCAGGCTGGTCTCCTCGAACTTCTTGGGCTCAAGCATTTTGCTTGCCTTGGCCTCCCAAAGTGCTGGGATTATAGGTGTGAGCCATTGCATCTGGCCCTAGGTCTTTAATATCTTACAGCAATGTTTAATAGTTTTCAGTGTACAAGTCTTAACACTTCTTTTGTTAAATTTATTTTTTTGTTTGCTGCTGTTTTTTTTTTTTTTTTGGGTGGAGATAGCATCTCACTCTGTCACCCAGGCTGGAGCACAGTGGTACAAACACAGCTCACTGCAGGCTCAACTTCCTGGGCTCAGGAAATCCTCTTGCCTCAGCCTCTTGAGTAGCTGAGACCATAGGCATCTGCCTGGCAAAAATTTGTTTGGTACAGTCGGAGTCTTGCTGTGTTGCTTGGGCTGGCCTTGAACTCTTGAGCTCAAGCAATCCTCTCGCCTTGGCCTCCCAAAATACTGGGATTACAAGTGTGAGCCACTGTGCCTGGCAAGTATTTAATTTTTTTAAATGTTATTGTAAATGGAATTTTTCCCTGTAAATTTCAGTTTTAGGTTGTTCATTACAAGTGTATAAAAATATATTTTACTTTTGAATATCAATCTTGAATATGCAACCTTGCCAGACTCGTTTATTAGATTTTGTGTTTGTTTTTGTGAATTCTTAAGGATTTTCTAAAATCAAGGCCTTGTCATCTGCAAAAATAGCTGAGTGTGATGGCAGGCTATGGACAGATAGTTTTATTTCTTTCTTTCCAACCTGGGTGATTTTTCTTTACCTCATGACTAGAACGTCCAATACAATATTGAATAGAAGACGTGAGAGCAGTCTTATCTTATTCCTGAACTTTGAGGAACAGTTTTTAGTCATTCACCATTAATTCTGATGCCCTTGATCAGGTTGAGGAAACTGTTTCTACCCTTAGTTGTTGAATATTTTTATCATTAAAAGATGTTGGATAAATGTTTTTACATTGTTGTTTTATTAAAATTTAACCTCAGATTATTGATAATATTATAGATGAATAATTATTTTCAACAATTTTGAGCACATGCAACAGTACCCAAAAAGCTTTTTTAGTCAAATTGTATTTGATAGATTATTCTAATTTTAATGATTAGAAAGACTGTTTTTTTAACCTTTCATACTTTTCCCCTTCCCTCCCCCTGCTTTTTTTTTTTAATAGGAGTAACTTTATATATGGCTCATATTTGAGTAAAGAAGAAATTGCTTTCTCAGATCCCACTCCTGATGGAAAACTGTTTGCAACACAGTACTGTGGCACTGGTCAGTTTCTGGTATATAATTTTATTAATGGACAGAATAGCACGTAAAATAAATTCTTGCCTACACCACTAGAGGACATTTATTGAAGAGAATGGATTGGTTGCTGACTTTAACCAGGAACTAGGGCCATTTTTATTACAATGAACTCAGGACTGGCAACAACCCTATGGTTGTTCCATTTTCATAAAATTGGAAACAATGCAGTAATAGCTTATTGTTTTGTTTTTTAAAGAAGATATTTTATTATATTTTACAGAAATTTATGATTGATGTATTTTATCTATAGTTATTTAGACATGTTTACATGCAGCAGATAATTGTTCATAGTGGACTGAAAACTAATGCAAGGACTATGGTCTCAGTGATAAGTATATTTTGAAGTTCTTAATATGGAAATATACCAGTGTAGCTTGGTACTGTATTTTTTTATATTGATCTGCTGATACCAGTTAGAGGTTTAAAGATTATATTTTCACAGAGTGAAAACCAGTTTTTTAAAATTTTATTGAGATAGAATCACACTCTGTTGCCCAGGCTGGACTGCTGTGGCGTGATCTCGGCTCACTGCAACCTCCGCCACCTGGGTTCAAGCGATTCTTGTGCTTCAGCCTCTCAAGTAGCTAGGATTACAGGCGCCTGCCACCACACTCGGCTAATTTTTGTATTTTAGTAGAGATAGGATTTCACCATGTTGGCCAGGCTGGTCTCAAACTCCTGACCTCAGGTGATCCACCTGCCTCTGCCTCCCAGAGCATTGGGATTACAGGCATGAGCCACCACGACTGGCCACAAACCAATTTTTTTAGTTATTGTTGAAGTAGGGTGCAATATTAAGTGTTTTGGAATTTGAAGCTGAGTTTTAAAAGGCTTTAACTATATACCCCTATAGAAAAGGAAAGCTCCAGCTAAACAGGAAGATTTGGAATATTGAGCGTTTTTTCCTGATTTTGCTTTTTCCTATCTTTGATGACAGGAAGTAGAAAGTGGTAAATAATTGAGGCCTTTCTTCTTAAAAAGCTGTAAATGACAAGCATTAGGAAAGGTACTCTCTAGATTCATTATTCTTTCATTCTGGTTTCACTTTTTAAAATAAATGGTAACTTGGCACACCTAGGCTGTTAACAAATCTCAAAGAGGTTTATAAAAACCTATAAAATACTTGGAAGTGAGGTATGGATGACTTGGTATCTGCTTTGTTATTCCTCAGAAATACTGCACTGAGTATATGCCCTCATTACTGGACTTCATTTTGATACTTGTCTATCCTTCATAGTGCCCTCTACTTTTAAAGGGTTTATATGTTGAAAACTGCTGTGGCCTTTTATGACCTGTATATAATGTAGAATAAAAATAATAAAATACTTGATAGCTTTTTCTAAGTGAACAATGTACTGAGATAATGGTGTGTTGTCATTTGTGCTTTTTCTGGGTGTTTTTTTGGTTTCATACCTTGAAATATGATTAAAACATTGGCTTCCTAAAGGTAGTTTCCACCAATTTGCCAAAGGATCATTATGTCACCAGCAAATCAGCTGAACTTTTCCAAAAGGCAAAATCCTTTCTGATTATTTTAGTAACATGGTACTTTTATGATGTTTCAAATAAATGAAGGGCCCACAGCACCCAAGAATGAATTCACCACTATGGTTCAACTTAGGTTATTTTTATGAGCTGAAATAAATGATCACATCTCAGTTGAAAACTGGCTTATTTAGGGCCTTAAATTAATAATCAGGTATACATGTTATTTCCCTATAAATTTGTGCTTTTAAAATTTCCAGAGTGGTGTAAGACTCTATACTCTTTGTATGGGTAGAATGATAGGGCAGGGTAAATATTTCCCTCTGATTCATCATGCTCTGGATTTTGTTTTGTTTTGTTTTTGTGTGTTTTTTGAGATGGAGTCTTTCTTGGCTCACAGCAACCTCTGCCTCCTGGTTCAAGCAATTTCCTGCCTTAGCCTCCTGAGTAGCTGGGATTACAGGCGTGCACCACCACGTCTGGCTAATTTTTGTATTTTTAGTAGAGATGGGGTTTCACCATGTTGGTCAGGCTGGTCTCAAACTCCTGACTTGTGATCCACCCGAGGCGCTGGGCCTGTTTTTTTTTTTTCTTTTTTGGAGGCAGAGTCTCACGCTGTCACCCAGGCTAGAGGGCAATGGTGTGATCTTGGCTCACTGCAACCTCTGCCTCCTGGGTTCAAGCGATTCTCCTGCCTCAGTCTCCTGAGTAGCTGGGATTACAGGTGCCTGCCAATGTGCCTGGCTAATAATTTTTTTTTTTTTGAGATGGAGTCTTGTTCTGTCACCCAGGCTGGAGTGCAGTGGTGCAATCTCCGCTCACTGCAACCTCCGCCTTGCGGTTCAAGCCGATTCTCCTGCCTCAGCCTCCCGAGTAGCTGGGACTACAGGCGCGTGCCACCAACCTGGCTGATTTTTGTATTTTTAGTAGAGATGGGGTTTCACCATGTTGATCCACCCACCTTGGCCTCCCAAAGTGCTGGGATTACAGGTGTGAGCCACCGTGCCCAGCCCTAGCTTTTGATACTGCCATTTCCCATTGGGCTTGAGACTCTTCTAGTTATCCATGGTCTCATTGTTTGCCTGACAGGTAACATGTTTTTTTTAAAAAAACAGAATGAAATTTTGGTATATCGTGTAAACTCTATAGTAAACTGTTAACCTCATAATACAGGTCCAATTTCCATAAACAATAGTATACTACTTTTGACTTGCTTACAAAGCTATCTGGAGGTGAAAGAGGGTATATTGGGTGCTTGGTTTAAATTTTATTACTGAGAAAAGTTTTTTGTTTTTTTTTTTGGGACGGAGTTTCACTCTTGTTACCCAGGCTGGAGTGCAATGGCGCGATCTCGGCTCACTGCAACCTCCGCCTCCTGGGTTCAGGCAATTCTCCTGCCTCAGCTTCCTGAGTAGCTGGGTTTACAGGCACGCGCCACCATGCCCGGCTAGTGTTTTGTATTTTTAGTAGAGACGGGGTTTCACCGTGTTGACCAGGATGGTCCCGATCTCTGGACCTCGTGATCCACCTGCCTCAGCCTCCCAAAGTGCTGGGATTACAGGCTTGAGCCACCGCGCCCGGCCGAAAAGTTTATTTTCATGTTTATGCTGAAGATACAGCCTCCCAAATTTTACATTTAGTATTATTAGTTAATACCTAACATTTGAGTGTTTGCTATGTGTCAGACCCTGTGTGTTTAGTGTTGCATTGTTTTATGTGATCATTATGACAGTCCTATGAGGTGGGGTTTATAAGTGAGGAATCTGGAACTTAGAAGTTAGTTAAGAGCAGTTTGTGTGAAAAGTGTTTAAACATTGAACTAAAGCTGTGATGTGGAGATGAAGATGACGAGACAGATCCACATTTAAAAGATAAAATTGAATTGACACAGTTGAATTGATAGGAATTTATAACAACCAGAAAAAGATCATGGCAAAGAGGCTAAGGTAAGTGGGAATTTTGGTTTGGGTAATTTGAGTTAGATTGACAGATGGGAATACAGGGGAATTAGGTTGGGAGGATTGGATGGGGATGCCCTCAGATTTGGTCACAATTTTAAGGTGGTTGTAGGATCTCCAAGTGGAGATGTATGTTTGGTATACAATTGGATATGTAGATCTAGAGTTTGAGAGAGATTCTAACCGAGCAAACAAATGGAGTTTACTTATTTATTTGAAGGTTTAGAGGGTCACCCTGGGGTTTGTAAAATGAGAAGGCAGAAGAGATTTTTGAGGTACACCATCATTTAGGCGTCTCAAGAATACCTAAGAAGGCATGAGCAAGGTAGGAGAGCCAGAAGAGAGAAGTAGAAACCAAGGGAAGAATTTCAAGATTCAAAGAATGGTCAACCCTGTCATACCACAGTTGAAGACTGAAGAGAGCCCAAGTGATGTTAGGAAAAGAGCAGTCTCAGTGGAGTGGTGGAGGCAGCAGGGACACAGTGAGTATACACTAATGGCCACAGACTGCAGAAGAGGGTGAGTCTGTAATTGCTAATTATAAAGGTGCTGATAAATTTTTTGTTAGCAGTCCTCATGTAGTTGGTCTTTATAAAAATGCCTAGCATAGAGGCACTATAGGAGCCACAAATAGAGTCAGGAACTACTAGATTTTATGGATAATGCCTTTATCTGCATGGACACTGATAAAAAGCAATATTTTACTACTACATAATGTGCGAGAACTTGGTGTATCTACCAAAAGCCTGACTTGTTATAAGGACGGTCAGTGAGTACAACAAACCTGCAGTGATATTTTAATTGTTCTCATTTACTTTGCACGACTGCCCAGCTATAGAGTCATATCCCTCTGGATGGGAACACGGCTGTATTCCTGCCCATCCACATTGTGGCTAAAGTTGAGATTGCTGAGTTGATTTCTGGGGTAGTAACTGTAGACACACATTTTATTTTTCATGGCTCTTGAGCCTTCTGGCAGAAAAAGGGATGAGTTCTTTTAGCAACCCCCCACCCCCACCATCCTTCTGGTTAAAATAAAATACATTGGACTAGTAAAAATAAAATATTTGTAATGAAGTGGTCAGAAAACAACTTACTGCTGTTTTGTATTTTTTTCCTTTAAACTTAATATCATCTATTGTCATAGTCACTGAAGTAGATGCTTTAACCCAATACTTGATAGTTGAGAGCACAGTGAATTTATTATGTGAATGACTTTTTCTTTGGCCTTAGAGGCAGCTTCTAAAATCATTTTTAGCAGTGTTTTTTTTGTTGTTGTTCTGTTTTCTTTTCAGTGAAGCCAAGGTTTCAGTGTTAGAGCAGTATTCTCCTAGACCCAGAGGAAACTTTAAGGACCAGTTTCCAGTTTCTGTGTCTAAAGAGAAGCTTGAGGAATGTTTGTTCCTGGATGTTGTTCCAGGCCTAAGTAGTTAAATGTGATGTTGCAGCAGTCAGAGTTTCAGTCTTTTCAAGGCAGCTGCTTTGGAATGCATAGTGGAACACCAGTAGTCTTTGCTTTCCTCTGAAAGTCTATCATTACATTTACAAATACTTACTGCCCTTCCTGAGGGCCCTTTGGCCTAGAAGATTGTTTTCATGGATTCTCTGTCAAATTCTTTTAATTTACTATACTTTATTAATAGATTGAAAGCCATTTTTCTGGACAGCAAAGTTATTCCCAAAAGTTCACCAAACAACTTTTAAGAAGATAGAGTTCATACTACAATAACATTGTCTTCATACTACATAGTTCTAGCAGCTTTTGCAAAGTTCTCAAAAAGTTTGAGCAGTTTAAACTAGAGATTAACAATAACACCTTGTATCATACCACATAGTTCTGGCAACCCAAAGTTCTGTTTCCAAAAGGACATCAAAGTGAGTATAGCTGCAATTTGTCAAATAAAAGATTGGGATCTACTGTGTGTATTTTCAACATCATCTTTTCTTGGAGTTGTCCTAAAAAGGCTGGAAGTCACATTATAGGTTGGATATTGCCAGAGTCAGGGAGCTTGTTTTCTTAACATGCCAGAAAATTAAAAAATAACTTTTTGGAGGGGGTGGGA